AGCACACACATCTAAAGTTAAAAGCTAGCATTCACATATAAGAGAAAACATGCAGTATTTATCTTGGAGTCTGGGATATCTCACTCAAGATGATTGTTTCTAGATCTATTCATTTACCTATATAGATTATAATTTCACTTTTTTTTAGAAGCTGAATAATAATCCATCATGTCATGAGCCACATTTTTATTATTTCCATCTGTCAGTTAGTCAATGGACATCTATGCTCTTTCCAATTCCTGGATACTATGAATAGAGCAGCAGTGAACACAGATGAGCAGGTATCTCTGTAGTAAGATACAGAGTCCTTAGGGCCAATATTTGACTTTAGCTATAGTGTTTCTTTATAACATTGGGTGCCTTTGTATTTGGTGTATAAATGTTGAGAATCCTCTTGGGGTGTGTGTGTGTGTGTGTGTGTGTGTGTTTTCTTTTCATCTAATGAGTACGAAGTGCCCTTCACTATATCTTCTGATTACTTTTTGTTTTAAAGTCTATTTTGTCAGATCTATTTTGTCTGCTTGCTTATTGGTTCCATTTGCTTGGAATACTGTTCTCCATCTCTTTACTCTAAGGTGACCACATCTGTCCTTGATAGTGATGTGTGGTTTGTTTGTTTGTTTTTTGTATGGAGCAGAAAGATGGATCCTGTTTTTAATCCAATCTTTGAATTAAAAAAATGAGAGTATTGATATTGAGAGATACTACTGAACAGTTTTCTAATTCCTATTTTTTTGTTGTTATGGTGTGTTTTTATTCTCCTTTTTATTGACTATTCTGGGATTATTTTAATTATTAGGTCCTTATTGGTATAGTTAGCCTTTCCTTCAGATGAAAGTTTTCCTTGTAGTGCCTTCTGTAGAGCTAGATTGGTGGATAAAAATTTCTTAAATTTGTTTTTACCCTGAAATGTTTTTCATCTTCCATCTATTATGATTGGTAGTTTTGCTGGGTGTGGTAGTCTGGGCTAGTTTCTGTAGTCTTTCAAAGAGTCTGTAGAACATTAGCCCAGGTTCCCTGCCTTCCATAGTGTCCATTGAAAATTCAGCTGTATCCTAATAGACCTGCCTGCATAGGTAACTTGGTCTTCTTCCCTTGTACCTTTCAATAGCATGTATTTGTTCTGTGCATTTACTGTTTTGATTATCCTGTTGTTTGGGGGATTTTCTTTTCTGGTCTTGTCTATTTGGTGTTCAGTATGTCTCATGTACCTTGATAAACATCTTTTACTTTGGGTTGGGGAATTTTCTTCTGTGATTTTGTTAAAAATACTTTCTGTGCCTTTGACCTGCTTCTTCCCACTCCTCTATATCTATTATTCATAGATTTGGTCTTTATACAGAGTGTTCCAGGTTTCCTGGATGTTTTATACCTGGATTTTTATATTTATATTTTTATATTTTTTTGCCTGAACTATCCATTTCTTCTGCCTTGTCTTCAAGACCTGAAATTTTCTCATCCATGTCTTTTGATATGTTGGTAAGGCTTTTGTTTCACTTCCTGAGTGTTTTCATTTTAAGTTTTATTTCAGTTTAACCTTTCCTCAGTAATTCTTTTTCTTTGCTAAATTCTACTTTCATGTCTTGAAGTGTTTTCATTATTTCATTCAACTATTTATGTTTTCATGCTCTTCATTAAGGCATTTATTAATATCCATTTTAATGTCCTCAGAGCCTACTACAGTAGGGTTTCTGATTTCTGCTGGAGACATATTGTCTTGGTTGTTCATGTTGTGTTTTTGCGGGGATTTCAGCATCTGGAGTTAGGACGTTTGAGATGTTTCTTGGTATAAATATCTAGTCTTGCCTTTGATGGGTGAGTGTTCTGTTCTTTCATTGCTGTTGTCCCATTCTGGGTTCTAGCTAAATGGAGCAGCTGTGGAGTCCCTGGAAGAGAGTGGTTCTGCAAATCAGCAAAGGGAAGGAGGTGGGCCAGATGGAAAGACTGAAAGGAGCAACAGAGAACTAGGGTTTCTCTCGGCCTTACCAAAGCCAAGTTACAAGGAGATTCACAATATTCTTTACGATCCTTTTATTACTAGCTATATGACATGTAGCATTTCTCCTTTATTACTTCTGATATGAACAATTTGTGTCATCTCTATCTTTTCACAAAGCCAACATTTGATTTCATCAGGACTTTTTCTAATGTTTTTTTTCCTTTAAATTTCATTAATTTCTCCTCTAATTTATTATCTCCTGCTTAGTCTGGGTTTAATTTTATCTTTTTTGTGTTTTTTTAGGTGTAAGCTTGTATTATTAACTTTAGATTTTTCTTTTCTAAATCTGTATTCTCTGTTGTACTTTTCCCTCAACACTGCCTCTATTGTATCTCACAAGTTTCAGTAAGACATTTTCACATTTGAGTAGCTTCAAGACTCACTTCCTAGGACTACACAGCAGGTCTCTCAGGATAAACCTTCTCTGCTTTGTACCTCCTCTGTAGGTACAGCTAAAGCAGCACATGAACAACCTTAGTAACTAAGAGGGAATGAAAAAGGAAATTTATGTAATTGTATTTTAGTTAAAATATTTTAAAAGAAAAAATTAATCTTGTTGTATAATGACAAGTCGGCAAGGATTTCCTTTAGCAAAATTCTATGGAAATCTTTGGTCTAAAAGAAATCTATGAAGCATATTCTTAGATCTTTCTGACTTTGGTTTAGCTTGGTTTTTTGAGTCAGGGTCTCACCATGTAGTTCTAATTGGCCTACTACTCATAATGTAGACTACACTGGCCCCAAACTCAGAAATCTACCTGCCTCTGACATGAATGCTGGGATAAAAGGTATCTGCCACCATGTCCCACACCTTCCTTCTTACCTCAATAAAGTATTTTCTCTCTCATCTTATATTTTATCATAAGCAGTGAGAAGGCAGGTAGCACTTTGGCTTTAAAAATCTCAGCTATTTCATTGAGCTCATCAGGTACATTTCCTGTTTTATGCTATTGTAGGCAGCAGTTATATCAAACTTTTAGTCCCTTCCCAGAATGTTGCCCATCCTTCACTTTCCAGTTGCATGGTCTTCACTTTACTTTAAATTCACTGATAGCCTTCTGGCAACTTTAAGGTTCCATTAAAACACTCTTAAAGGGCCAGGGAATGTAGCTCAGTGGTAGCTAAGCACTTGCTTATCTTGGATGAGGCCCTGGGTTTGATTCCCAGCACTAAAGAAAGTAACCCAGGGTCAGAGGTTGCACTAGTACTCTGCTTGTGGTGCTTTCTGCCACTGGTTCCAAAGCTAGCGCTATATGCTTAGCATTTGTTACTAAAGCATCTTGTATCAGAACCTATTCTGATAAGCTTTTGCTATGTGAAAAAACTACTACAGAACTATATAGTCTAAAACACTAAGGGCAGGCTGGATAGGGGGAGACAGCTCATCTCTTGCATAAAGTGCCAGATGGGGAGGGAAACTGACTAGGTTTGGGGATCCACTTGACCACACGGCTGGCATATTGGTTCTTCCTGTTTCTCCACATAAACCTCTCCACAATGTACTTGTTTTTCCACACATAGTAGTTGAGATCCAAGAGTAAATATCCCAAGAAACAGGAAGTAGAAGCTGCTAGTTTCTTAATCCTTGGTCCAGAAACTGGCACAGTACCATACCTGCTGCTTTCTATTGGTCAAATGTGACAGAGATCAATAAAAGGGATGCCAGACTTTCAGAGCCATGTTCCAAAACCAACAGTCTTCTAAAGGGTGCATAGTTTGGTCTTTGGTATTTTACCATATGACCCATGTAGAATTAATTTTTAAAATCTCCATTAGAACAATTATATAAAATCTATATCAATGAAATATACAAATCTTAGTTGCAAGTATATTGTACACTCATATATAATTTGCTGAATTTTAATAAATGTCAGCACCTGTGTAACTCCTCCCTCCCACTGTGATCAAGATAGGACACTTCTGCACCCCAGAAGTTCCATCAGGCTCCTTGTAGTCAGTCTCTGCCTCCACTGTGACTGTGATTCTTTTTTAAAAAGATTTATCTATTATGTGTACAATGTTCTGCTTGCACACCAGAAGAGGACATCAGATCACATTATAGATGGTTATGAGCCACCATCTGTGTGCTGGGAGTTGAACTCAGGACCTCTGGAAGATCAGCCAATGCTCTTAACCTCTGAGCCATCTCTCCAGCCCAACTGCGATATTTTTATTTTCTTTTTTTGCATGTATATAAGGTGTAGTGTATGTGCTGTCCTCAGTCTCTTTCTACCTTATTCACTGAGGCAAGGCCTCTCACTTGAACCAAAGCTCACCAACATAGGACAGTCTGTGTAGCTAGCCAGCTCCAGGGATCTCCTATCTCTGCCTTGCAAGTGTCTGAATTATAGGTGATCCACTAGGACACTTACATGGGTTCTTGTGGTCCTAACTCCATTCCTCAACCTTGTACAGCAAGCACTTTATCTGCTAAATATCTCCATAGTCTACTAGTCTCTCTTTCTTAGCAAACCTAGGCTGATCCTTCTTTTCATAGATTGACCCTTATATACACCTCTATAGAGACCTTTATTCTGCCAGTTAGGTCTCTTTAAGTTAGGAGATGAAGCCATTCAGCTCTGAGTCTCTTTACTGCTTTAGGACACTCAGCTTCTTGGGTCTGCTAAGTCAGTGGCTACTGCTAAAAAGTGGCCACTTCTTCAGTCTGCTGTCTCGTTTCCTTGATGCTATTGGCTGTCTCTTCAATTCTTATCTGGCTCACCTTAGAGAATTCTGGGAAAGAAGAGAGTTTATATTTTCTTCTCAGGGACCAGAGTTGTGAGTTTTGAGTTGCTCTCCTAATAGGCTGTGTTCCCAGAGCTCTTGGTCATGCAGCTTAGGCAAAAGATTTTCTCCCTTTACCACCCATAGTGCTTGGCAGTATAGTTGCGGAGAATCCCAATGGTGCCAATTCCAAAGTTTAGCAGATGGGAGGCAGCTGCTCTCTAATTTCCCTCTGCCAGGCATACTGTAAGGTTCTTGGGTTCTTTGTTTCCTGTAGTTTGTATCTACCTGAACAAGAGCGGCAGCACAGGCCCCCACTTGGATAAGAAGAAGATCCAACAGCTCCCTGACCATTTTGGGCCAGCCCGTGCCTCTGTGGTGTTGCAGCAGGCGGTCCAGGCTTGCATTGACTGTGCTTATCACCAGAAAACTGTCTTCAACTTCCTCAAGCAAGGCCACGGGGGTGAAGTCATCTCAGGTAAACACTTCTGGGCTGGTTTGGCCTAACCAGAGTGGCAGGCCTTCACTGTGATGAGACATCCTGGTGCCAGGTTGGTACTTAGAGGCTCTGGGGAATGCAAAAGTACCGCATTCCTCAAGAGTCCTTACTTCCAGCCCCAGGCTCTGCTGAAGCATGTGCCATATAGTATATGCCACATACCTCTGCCAAGAATAGCCAAACCGACTAAACAGAGTCCTCTCCTGCCCCCACACAGAAAATATGAGTATGTGGCTTAAAGTAATTGCAGAGTAAAAATACATAAGGGCTGTGTTGTTACAACAGAGAAATTTCCCCAACTGACTTCAGACAACCTCGACTTCCTCTCATTCCTGCCTCCTTAGCTTCTGGGTCTGTAGCTCCCATATAAGGGAGCTGAATCCCAGGACACAGGGAAAAGGGGAGCTTAATTTAACAGTGTGGTACTTTTTGCTATAACTGTAGATACCTTCCTGCTATGCCCTGTTTCTGTTTCAGTTTTCTTAAGTCCATAATCTGATTTTTACCCACCAAGCCTACGACAGATGGCTTGACCTGCAGCCTTCCGGTCTTGACTATAATGCTGCCTTAAAGTCCCTCCCTTTCCTTCTTAGCAAGCTGCTGTAGCATTAAGGAACCATCTGACAGGGAATATACAGCCAAACAGTCCTTATAGCCAGTATCTGTTGAGCCTTTAGTGTGTGGCAGAGGTTTCTGCCACATACTGGCCAAGAAAAGGGAAACAGGAGACATCAGGCTCAGGTTTGCACTGTGGAAAAGAAAATCTGAATAGTCTACGGAAGGGTGACAAGAGAAAACATTAAGGAGCCAAGTCCAGGCAGTGACTGGATGTACGGAGGATGGGAACTGCTGACACATCAAAGCCCATGTCCTTCTGAGGCCCAGACCACTCTCTGGCCTCTTCTTCGCAGTTTGCAGGGTCTGTGCCTTCCTACTGCCTGGAGTTCTTCCTCTTCAAAACTTTCCTGAGAGCGATTTATCTCCCCAGATGTCTGTTCTTCACATACCTCAACGACAATTACATGAACCTTTTGCTTTTTAAAAATTATGCCAATGTTTTGATAAGAATAGGTTCTGTATAAAATAAAAACAAGCATGAAACATTTCCAAATGTTGCTCAAATTCAGTATCCTGATATAGATTGGAAATTTTTTACTTGGGCCAGTGTTAGCAATGGCAGTATTCTCTTCTTCTGCTTAGCTTTCCTGTTCTTGGGCAGTTGTCTTGTGAAAATAGCACCCCAGGTGAACACATTTCCTGGAGGAGGTCCAGCCAGGTGATGAAGAAAGTAGCATTATGTTTATAGTTGTTTTCACAAGTTGAGTGAAATCATTCCAAAGCCCTGAGGTTGCAACAGACCTGGCCTGGCACTCCCATGATTGCACACTCTTTGGAGTTAGAAGCAAAAATCAAAGCCCTTGGGCAAGGGAGGGCAGCAGGAAGCAGGCAAGCAGCTTGGCGCTGCCTCTTTGTAACTGGCCAAGCCCAAGACATGAAGTGAGCTGGGCGTCTCTGGCCAGCGCTGCACTTCACTGCATAACTGATTTGTTTTGTTTACTTAACTCCACAGCGGTGTTCGACCGGGAACAGCACACCCTCAACCTCCCAGCAGTCAACAGCATTACCTACGTCCTCCGCTTCCTGGAGAAGCTCTGCCGCAACCTTCGGAGTGACAATCTGTTTGGCAACCAGCCCTTTACACAGACCCACTTATCAGTCACTGCCACAGAGTACAGCCACAGCCACGACAGGTACCTACCAGGTAGGAGCTGGGATGGGGCCTGGGCTGAGAAGGGGGCTGGGCATCCAGTAGTGCCTGCAAGGGCCCAGGGGCAGCCCTCAGGCCTGCAAGCCTCGTACCCACCATCCAGAGATCTGGTTTTCTGCCCTTTGCCTTTGCCACATCTGGGTCATATCTACAAGTTGGTGGTCTTCCGCCACCTAAACGCTTCAGAATTTTGCTGTCACTCTAGAATTTCTCTTTCCTCTGGACCCCTATTTCTAGAAGTTACCCTATGATTTCCTTCTGGTCTCCAGACCACATGTGCAGCCCACGAAGTCCTAATACAACCCCCAATATGAATCCATCATCAAAGGCCTCATATAGCTCTCCTTTGCCAGCAACAAGGTTTAGTCTTTGAATTTAGAGATTGAGAAAGTTGCTCCATGTTGATTGGCCATCCATTCTTTTCTTTGGCATGTGGCCCTAACTTCTAGCATTGCCAGTCTAACAAGTCAGTTCAAGTTCCTGCTGTTTCCAACTAGTCTGGAAAATAACTTTTTAGTTAACATACCATCCCCACAATGGGGAAGCGGATGCCACGTGGCTGGGTCAGTGACTAAGCACTTCCAAGAGAGCTTGAAGTGGAGCTCGGCATCTCTGATCTGGAGAACAGGACGCAGAACCAAGGGAGGGAGGAAAGCTTGGTTGGAAACCTAGAAAGGTAGGTTGCTGTTAAGAGGGAGGAATTGCTCTTTAAAAGAGACCTGTGGATGGTGCTCTGAGCCGAAAGGAAATACTACCACCCTGGGACTACTCTGTCTGCTGTGGAGGCTCATGAGACTGAAAGGTGCTCTGGGGTCTTCTATATGAGTCTTATTCCCACAATCCCTTCCCTATTGTCTTTTCATCAGATTCTTAATGACTTCTGATTAAAGTATCACTCCTGGAGAATGTCCTCAGGAAAGTGACCACCCACCCAGTCTCCTCTGACCCCTCCATAGCTCCGCAACCAAGTGAGAATTGCTTATGTGATTTTCGGTTAAAAGATACCTAAATCCCTCATATGTCTACATGTAAACTAAACATCTGGTCCCTGCAGCTGAATCGTGCTCCTCGGCTGGTTCTTTTCTTCAGAGGGAACTTTTTAAAATACTTGCTCTACATTGTTGTTTTGTTTTTCCCAAAATCAGAACCTGTAAGAACAGCCCTGCAGTTAGAATATTGTACTGGATAGGATAGAGTTGGTACAGACAAAAGACAAAGTGTTAAATATTCTCAGCATTGTCATTTGGGGGCCCTGGGCTGTATTTCCTAATAAAAGGCCTAACTGGAAGTCTGAAAGAAAAGGTGCATGAGAGGGAGTGGCATGTCCAATAGGGCAGCTGTTCAAAAAAAAAAAAAAAAAAAAAACAGAAATTCAGAATTCTTAAATAGAACACTCTCCGTCAAGAACTAAGAAAAGTACATTGGCAGCAGCATTCAGAGGCTGCTAGGGACATGCCCACACTGGGCCTCTATGAAGGTGGCTGGGGATTGACACAGGGCACAGCCTTCCTAGGACTTCTGTTCTGGTTTGTCTCTCTAATTCAACACCAATGAAAAGGCAGCTCCATCCAGACTCTTCTTTCCTGCCTTGCCAGCTAGAGACAAGACAAAAAACCAGGAGTGTCACTCTGAGCTATCGTAGGCTGTGTCCTATCCTTATTACCCTATTTCCAGACAGACTGCACCAACTCTGAGCTCTGCTAGCCAAGCTGTTTCTCGTGGAAGGTTTTCAGCACATTGTCTGCTCTTCCTGGCTTCTGTTTGCTTCTCAGAAGAGTTTTAACTGTGCCCAGACAAGCCAGGGCCTTGTCTGGACTTCTGACTCCTTACTCTGTAGCTTGTCTTCCCTGCTTGCTGCTGTCTTACTAACCCTTTGCTCTGCCTCTGATACCTCAGCAGCACCTTTAGTTTTCGGATTTCTTATCCAACTTCTACAGAGAGCTCCATCAGTACCCATAGCTTTCTTTTGATTTTCGTTTGAATCTGTTTTTTGCCATTCCTGCCCATCTGCCTAGTGACACATTTCTACTGATGTGGCATCCATGGATCCCATCTGTGTTGCCTGGATTGTTTATTGGAGCCCTTTCCCCTCTCCCCCATCCTGCCTTGCCACCCTATTGCCCTATTGCTATGGACTTGTCTTAGCTGACCATGTACTTACAGTGTAACACAGCCATCAAAAGTTCATGTCCAGAGCCAGGCTGTGGTGGCGCACGCCGTTAATCCCAGCACTTGGGGGGCTGAGGTAGGTGGATCTCTGTGAGTTCAAGGCCAGCCTGATCTATAGAGGGAGTTACAGGACAGCCATGGCTACACAGAGAAACCCTGTCTCCAAAAAAAAAAAAAAAAAAAAAGTAAAAAAGTGCATATCCTTTTAAACTTCCTTACCTAACTTGAGACTTAATTTTTTTCACCACTCTATTTTGGAAACTTTCAAACCTACAGAAAAATTGCAACAATAGCAACAAAAGTAAAATGAGTCTTTCACTAAGAGTCACTTTTAACTTTTTTCCGTATTTGTTCTGTCTCTCCATTCACACATATATTTGTATCTAAATATTTAATATGTATATGTGTATGGCTTTTGTTTATTAACACAAGAGTTAACTGCAAGTGAAATTTTGGTTTGGTTTGATTTGGTTTTTCAAGACAGGGTTTCTTTGTGTAGCCCTCGCCATCTTATAACTAGCTGTATAGACCAAGCTGGCCTCGAACTTGCAGAGATCTTCCTACCCATGCCTTCCAAGTGCCACCAACGCCCAGCTAACAGGTGAAATATTTTTGTATATATCTCTTTTAAAGAGCACAGAACATAGATAGATACATACCTGTAATCCCAGACCTCAAGAATTTTAGGTAAGAGGTTTTAGGCAAGTTAAAGGGTAGCCTGGGCTACACAGTGAAACCCTATGTCAGATGAAGAGGGAAGATGAAGAAAAGAAAAGAGAATGAGAGACAAGAAGGGTGGAAAGGCAAAAGGAAGAACATTATTTTTGTGTTCAAGAAACTTAATGTAAATAAAACACTCCTGGGCTAATATACCATCCAGATCAGAATTTCCCCATTTGTTTCAATAATGTCTTCTGTAGCTGATTTTTGTTTTGTTTTTCTCTAATTTAGGATCCAATAAGAGATCATTTGGTGTCTTTCACTGTCTTATCTCTTACGCTTCCTTTATCTAGAGGTCTTCTCTGACTACATTGGTATTTTATAAAACCCAGTCCAAATGTTTTTGCTTTAGGTCATCAAACATTTATTAAACCCTCACTCTTTGCCAGATTCTATGCTGGATTTTAGGAGATGGTTAAGACAGACTGAACCCCTGTAGTCTAGAAGCGAAGAGGGAAGAGGCATGTGGTTAAGTGCATGGAGCAGAGGTGCCCCAGCCCAACCACTTATGATAAGCAAAGAGGAAAGTGAAAGCAAGTGGCTGAGCAAACTCCTGGGCTAGGCAGCTGAGGCTCTCCTCCAGAACTTCTTGTCTTTGAGTCAGATAACAGCCTTGTGGAAGCTAAAGTAAGGAACTCCTTTGGACCCCCTAAAAATTGGTACTATGAGGAAGGAAAACTTTTAATTCAGCTAGTTGCTATGGATATTAACATTAGCTGTTTTGAAATCTGTCTGGCATTAACCTCTAGATGTGCTGTTTTGAGATTGTCTGGCTGTTCCTGCCAGTGGAAGCACTGCCTTTGTTCCAAGACTCAAGGACTTGAGTTCTTTCCCGGCATGATTATTCATCCACCACCATGCCCTGTTCTGGGAGTCAACTCGATTATCTATCCAGATAGAGCTGGAAAGTTTCTAACCATTCAGCGTCAATGTAAATTAACTTTTCTGTTGTGACTCTAGAGAAATTAGGGTGGCTACTGCTCTACTGGATGTCAGTGGACAGAGGTGAGGCCCTTGCTCTGTGCACACACCATCAATAAGAGGCAGCTCTTCTCCAGATCTTACTGCAAAAAGTTGCCCTACTAGCATTCTCTGAGGAGGGTAGCCAGCAAGGGAGTGAGGAAGGAGTAAAGGCATATGGCGAAAAGCCACAGGTAACAAATACTCCCAGGGAAGCCTGGAAGGCAGGACGGTCTCAAGAGTTGTTCTTAGAGTACAGAGAGTAGAACATGGGGAAGGATTTGGAAGAAGACAAATTTTAACTTTAAAAAAATAAGAATTTTAACTCTCAACAATAAGATGATTGCCAAAAATCCCTCAAGAGAACAACCATCATTGGGGTCTTTATCAAACAGAGGTCAGACAACCACCGAACCTAGAGAACATTGTACTCAACATGGCTTGCTCAGCCTGCTTTCGTATAGAACCCAAGACCACCAGCCCAGGGATGGCACCACCCACAATGGGCCAGGCCCTCCCTCATCAGTCACTAAGAAACCACTTTACAGCTGGATCTTATGGAGGTATTTTCAGTTGAGATTCCCTCCTCTCAGCAAACTCCAGCTTGCTGTTCTTGGTGGTTATCCCATGGTACTAAAATCTCCAAAATGTTGCGGTCTTCTGCTGCAAGTGGGCTCTGCTTTCACCAATATCCTCTCCTAGACTCTCTTCCTAGTGCCAAGCCTCAATTTTCTGCATGACCCCTCACTCACACTGATCTGGGCCCTCCCCCATCAATTAAGGAAATGCCTTACAGCCAGATCTCATGGAGGCATTTTCTCAAGTGAGGTTCCATCCTTTCAGATAATTTTAGCTTGTGTCAAGTTGGTATAAGACTAGCCAACACACCATCCAATGCCTTAGGTTAGGTCTCAGCTTTAGATTACATGACATGGTGACTGGGTTCTGCTACCTGATACTGGCCATTGAGACGCACTGGCATGAGATTCCCTTCCTAAAAGCTTTCAGATGTTCAAAGCCCCTTTGGCAGGCTTCCTGGGGTATGGGTAGATTTCTTCAGGGTTTCCTACGATGCAGTGAGAAGCATTCTGCTGAGAGACAGAGTCAAGTTCTTACCCTGATCCTAGTCCCAGTGCCTGAGCTCCCCCAGCCTCCTTGGAATGTTTCTGTAGAACAAGGTCAACACAGGTGACTAGAGGCATTGAAGGAACAGGTCCTCTGCAGACAGGCCTTTAACCAGGTGTCATGGAGTATTTCTGAGATGTCCTGCTGATAGACCAGCATCTGCTTCTAAAGAATCCTCATGTGAGGCCTGGGAGATGACTCAGGAATTAAAAGCACTAACTCTGAAATTGTGAGGACTTGGTTTGAATCCTTGGGACCCACATAAAAACTGGGCATGACTGTGCCTGTAACTCCAACACTGGGGGTCAGAGACAGGCAGATTATGGAATCTCACTAGCCATCCAGCCTAGACAAAACAGTGGAACTTCAGGCTCAGTGACAGACCCTGCCTCAAGGGAATCAGGCAGGAAATGGTAGAGGAAGATGCCCAGTATCCTCTGGCCTCCACATGCATGTACATGGGCACACACATACAGAGTCCTCCTCTGAGCATGCAAATCCTTTCCCACGATCCTCACCCTCTTTCTAGTACCTTATGACTAAGGAATTGTCTCCCACCTAAAGTAGCTCTAGTTTTTGTTTGTTTGTTTAAGTTGTCCTTATCCAGAAAAGACCTTCAAAATATGCCAGGCCAAGAGTAACAATCTAGAGAAACCAGAATCAAGAGAGGAATCCAAGTCCTGAGCTCCTAGTAGAGCCAGGAGCCATGGTTGATACACAGGCATTCTGTCCTTGTAGAGCTTTATGTCTTGCTGCCTCTTGTTCCACTCAGGAAGATACCTGGAGCCAGCACTCTGCCAGTCCTTCCAAGCCAGTCCTTACTTTAGCCCTAGTTTTATTATTTTCCAGGGGAAACCTTTGTCCTGGGGAGTAGCCTGGCCCGGTCCTTGGAGACACACTCAGACTTGATGGACTCTGCCTTGAAGCCTGCCAACATTGTCAGCACCTCCCAGAATCTTCGAACTCCTGGGTATCGACCCTTGCTTCCCTCCTGTGGCCTCCCATTGAGCACTGCCTCTGCTGTGCGTAGGCTCTGCTCCAGGGGTAAGCTGGTCAGGACTCCTTGCCCTTTCTCCATCCCTTGCTCCTGGGCTCAAAAAGAACATCAGGAAACTAGTGTTGCTGCCCTGCTACATGGTGATGGGACTGGGGCTGTGCTCGCTACTCTGCCTTGTCCAACCATCTGGGATGTAATTTGTGTTCTGGGCATGGTTTGGAGAAAACAAAAACATAAAAGGGATGGGGAAGGGGTTGTTCTTCTAGCCTTTCACCATTTATTTGAATCCCATCTGTATTTGAATAGTTTGCAAACTATGTAGGAGATCCACTTTTAAAAGTAATTATAAAGCAATAACGATGCATAATTGGTAGTATAAAATTGCAGGAAGGGGCACCTAATCCCAGCTATGCCTTCAAGGCTCTCTTCCTTGTCTGAAACAAGATGAATGGCTGTGTCTCAGCTGAGGAAGAGGAAAAAAGGATGGGGTAAAGATAGAGAGTAGAATGTATAGAACCAGGACTTTATGTGTTTCATTATTGCAGAAACATAATGTAAAAGGTCAGGGCTTATATTATTGAAAACTTCCAAACTAAAGAGTCTGGAGCTGATCATGCCCAACAGAGTTAGGCTACCAGTGGTATCCAACAGAAGCAAGGCATAAACAGAATTCTGTTTGAGTACCACAGAGTGCTAGATTGAACTAGCTTGAGTGACAAGACTAGAAAGAATGGGTCACACCAGAAGTGAGAAAGGCCTGAAAATTAGGACAGTGTTATATATGAAAGTTCTCACTAGGTTAACTTGGAAAAAATTGAAGATAGTGAGGAAATGGAGACTCTTCCAGGTTTAGATACCTAAATTCAGCTGGTTGAATAGTATGCCATTCACTACCAAAGACCTAGAAATGGAAGGGAGGAAATGCTGTGAATCATCTTGGAGATAGATACACAACAGACAGCAGCTACTGCACGTCACATTCACAGGAAAAGTGTAGAGCTGAAACTTTATAGTGAATGAGTTGCCAGAAATAAAGGTGGGGTCAAAAGAGCAGCTTACCAAAGATGGATGCCTGATAGAGCGCCAAAGGTGGGAGCAGGAACAGAGGCTTACACAGAAGGAGTGCACTCAAGAGTGAGGAGAAAGAGAAGTTAGTTGGATGGTGGCTGGACACTCCCAAGAGTGTTTAAGTAGCACCTTGCCTGAGGAATACCTGCAGGACTCCATAATTGGTACGTAGGTGATCTTATCAACAAACATAGGAAGGGTAGATTGCCATGGGTTGAGGAAATGTTAAGGTGAGAATTTGATCAAAATAAAGGCAAATAATAGAGTCTGTGAGTCAAAAGAAGTTCTTATCAAGTGGAGCACTTGGGCATGATTGTCAAAAGACAACTTGAACTTCTGAGAAGTTAAGAATATAGCAGAGAAGAAATGAATAATGAGAAGTAGTAGGAGTCCGAGAGCACAGGCAGACAAATGAGCAGATACACCTTCTCTGGCATGGGAAGAAGACTGCCATCAGTGAACAGAGAAAGGACTGAGTAGGGAAGACCTTAGGAGTGCTGAAAGGTTAGACCAGTCATACAGAAGATAATGGATCAAGAAAAGAATGTCTGCAAGAAACCTCAGGGGGCAGCTGTGGGTAGAGACTAGTTTGCAAGAGCTATGGTTTTCTTTTGTTTCTTAGAGTCTTCTATATAATGTGAGACAAGATGGTTTGGGAATCAAGGCTTTGTGGTGGACTGGTAAGACAAGAACCAGGAGGGAGGACAGCACAGAAAGCAACCAGTGGAGCTGGGGGGGTGGGGGGGGGAGACCAGTGAGGGTCATTGGCAGCTGAGCATTTTAACAGAATAGCTCTAGGGGATAAGTTTCAAGACAGCTGGAAAGATAAGCACAGAGACAGGCATACTTAAAATTCTGAAGCAGTTTGTTCCAAATGCTGATAAGTACCAGACAGTGGCCTTAGCAGTCACCATCTGGACTAGAGAAGAGGTGAAAGTCACTGGAAGTTTGACACTGGTAACAGCAAGAACTATAACAGAGTGATCTAAGAACCAAAAGGAGTCTTCATTTTAATAAGTGAACACAACACAGAGATCTACTGATAAGTAATTGTGGTCAGAAAGAGCAGGTGGCTGGATATAGGCTTAGACTCTATGTGAGGTTCATAGGAGGATGATCTAGAAACACAATCAGGAAGCTGGGAGAATACTGTCCTCAAACCCTAGCCTCTCCAGCCCAGGGTCTGTGAAGTCTATAGAATAAAAAGATTCCAGCAACAAGAAGTGCAAGATGACTTTGTAAGAGAACGTTTGAGAAGACTGAGACAGAGGAAGAATCCTGTGTTAGACCTCAGCACTATGAGGGGGCAAACAAATTAGAAAGAGCAGTCAGGTAGAGATGGTAGCTGAGACATGGCTCCCTTAATTCCCTTGCCTTTAGACTAGGTCTCCTGTATGCAAAGTGTTCCTCATGAAGAATGGAAATTCTCATATCAACTTGGTTCTTTCCACAGGAGTGTTCAAAGGAACAAATGAAAGAAGGGATATGGAATCATTTTGGAAACTAAGTCATTCCCCAGGTATGTGGAGAGTTCCTGTGATGTTCATCTCCATCAAAGCAAGGTCTGGTTCTGGAAGGGATACACCGTGATAGACTGCCTCTCCTACTTAGCCCAGATGGCACTGTGGTATCAGAGCTCCCCTCTTTAAGCATATCATGAGTCTTTGTGCCAGTCATACTCAAAACTCTTTTGTCAATGAAGAACCTCTAAGGCTAGAGGATTCTATCTGATGAGCTCTAGATTGCTTGTCTCAACAGACAGAGAGACAGAGAGAGTGAGGGAGAGAGAGAGAGAGAGAGAGAGAGAGAGAGAGAGAGAGAGAGAGAGATAAGAATTTGAGTCTATCCCCTTTCTTACTTTGTTAACCTAGAATATCAGATCCAAGTATGCAAGCCTGGCCTGTTGTAGATGCTCTCTACAGTCAGAGTGGTATAGTCTGCCTTCCCTGAGTGTGGGGGTGAGGGCTCTGAGGTCTGCTCTGTACAGAAAAAGGAACAGGAGAAGTCAATAAGGCACCAGCTCGTCTCTTTCCTAGCTGGGTAGTCTTACCTAGTCAATTCTTCACCTCCTAGGCCTGTTTCCTCCTTTCTATGCTGAAGATGGCCTTCAAGGGCTATTTTTGAGGTCACAGGAACTGAGAATGGTAGGTTTTCTAACTTCTAGGGTACTGTGCTTAGATCCAGTTGCCTTCCTGATTACCTCTGCAGTGCATTTTGTGTTTGTCTGTTGCCTACACTATTACCAAGACTCTCCATGCCCTATTCTCACCAGACTGTGTAAATGCAACTTCTAGATTAATGCATCACTCATCTGCTCAGACAGATCTACCTAAGAAAAGTCAGCAGTTGTCAGTGATACACAAGGTTCTCTATTATCACCACCCTGCCCACTTCCCCTCTGCAAGCAAATGTGCCTCAGGTATCATCTCACACTGTCCTCCCTCATTCCCTTCCCTTCCCGCTAACCTTAAACTGTTCTGCTCCTTCAGGTCTTTGCTGAGATGTCATTTCATGAATGTCTCTCTGACCATCGCATAAATTAAAGCTTCTGCCGCCTGCCCTTGTTGAGTTTATAAATCCATAAATTTATAAATTCATTATGTGAATTGTTAGCCCATTTTCACTGCTATAACAAAATACTATAATGTAGATTGCTTACAAACAACAGAAACTTATTTCTCCTAGTCCTAAAAGCTGGAAAGCCAAGATCAAGGTGTTGGCATATCTGTTTGATGAGGACCATCTAGTCTCACTTAACCTAAAGACTGGGGTGGGGGTTCCCCGTTCAGACCTCCTTTATAAAAAGAGCACTAATCTTTTTATTAAACTTGGGCTCTGCCCAAACTCCTAATATCGTCTCTTTTGAGGGTTAGGAATGTCAACATAAGAATTTGGGGGAACACGGGCAGTTGACTTTGTATGTGTGTTCCTGGCATATGTATATGTGTATAAACGTGTATTTATGTGTGAATACACACACACACTTCCTAGCTCCTCATTAAAGGCATTAGCTAGATGGTCCAAAAAGGGCATACTAACACACATACAATGAGACACACACACACCAGCCACATCTCTCTCCAGAGTATCTGCAGCTGGTTTCACTTTGGCATCACCAAGGACTTTTAGTTAGGGAAAATGAGTAGCTCACAAAGCCCCCTCTTCCTTCTAGTCCTCTTAGTACCTAAAACCCCTCAGGGTGTCTGTGCCTCTAATCATCTGCTTGCTTAACACTTTTGCCCTTGTCTGCTCAGTACCTGACCAAGAGCTGGAAAGATTTGCTGAAGCTCTGCTAATCTTAAACAAAAAAGAAAGGTCAGACGGGTCGAGCTAGCGTGCTTTCAGCCCCAAGGCCCAGAATGAAGGGAGGCAGGAGATTCTAGCCTCTGCAGAAGATAGGTAAAGAATACCATTTTTTGCTTATATGCCTTAGCTCTACTACCAGGTAGATATGTGACAGGGTATCTGTAGGTGCTGAAGATTACACACATGTGCAAGGTAAAGCCATGGTCTGGTGGGGGAAACAGAAAAATATACATGTGATGGCATGATCATTAATTCACTGAACTCATACTCAGGCATCACTGTGGCAGACCAGTTACTCCTTCATGTGTCAGGAACAAGACAAGAACCATGGCACCACTTACATTCAATATGGGGACATAGGTAACACACACCAGATAAATGAGTGCATGAAAGTATAGTGGTATGATATGTGCCCAGGGTAAATAAACTGAGTGATGAGATCAGAGAAGGTTGATAACTGAGAAAGATACAAATGTTGAGGAGTCAGATTAGAAAAGAACATTCCAGACAAGTCAGAAGTCAAGAGCTTGAGTTGTTCCAGAGCAGGTAAGTAAGGGCAGGAAACCAGAATGGAGTGTGACTTGAAGCTGGGCAGGACGACTGAGAACCTCCTCACTCCACTCCATCAACGCTGTGAGGACTCAGATGCCATTTCCTGGACAATGGGATGCATGGCAGTGAGTCAGAAGGAATTGATGAGATCCCATTACTGCTTTGTAAAGGTTCTCAGCCACTTTAGAGAGCACAGATCACTGCAGTCATGGGATGGAGCAACTGTATGCAGAACAGGTTGTAACTAGTATAGGAGATGCTTTGAGGGTCCATTTCTTTCAGCATTAAAACAGGTCTGATTCTGGGACCAAGACCTCCTTAAATAAGCTGAAGTTTGCCTGAAGAGACAGACAGACTGAAGGAAGAAGACATCCAGGCAAAGGGAATATGTGAGCAAGAAAATCTGCAACAGTGGATGACCAAAATAATCAGATCCCAAATCACATAGGGAAAATAGAAGAGCTGTGTTTCAACCACAATTGAGATAAAAGCTGTAAACAGGGCCTTAACACTGAGATTCCTGGCAGCCAAGGCAAAACCTCTCCTCTCTCTCTCTCTCTCTCTCTCTCTCTCTAGTATATGAGACTGTGGAGAAGCTTAGTTTCACTCAAATACCATTATTTCTCTAGTTCCAAGTCAAGGCAAAAGTAAACATCTACTCCCTCCAGCCCCGCCAAACCCAAGTAGTCTCCTTACACTGATACCTGACTCGGGTTCAGTGTGAATCACTGCCCCTTTGTGAAACCTCCAAAAGCTCAATGAATGAAGTTGTGACTTCTCTTTATGGAAAAATTCTTCCCGGGCAACTTCTAGTCATCTCCTAGCACTTGAATGTTGCTATGGGCATCACCTCTGAGTGGAGTGTATCAGATCAGTGGGGAGGGACTAGCAGTCATTTTGTGCATTATGGTAGGTGCCCTCCTGTCCTTCAGGGTCGGATCGATATCTGGAAAGCCGAGATCCCCCTCGCCTGAGTGGCCGGGACCCCTCCTCATGGACAGTGGAGGATGTGATGCAGTTTATCCGGGAAGCCGATCCTCAGCTCGGATCCCATGCTGACCTCTTCCGAAAACATGTAGGTATCTCTGTCTGACCTCCTGTGTGTGCTGCAACCTAGAGATCCTAGAAGGCATGGCTGTCTGATCTGTGTCCATTGAACATAATGTAAGTGATGCCATCTTAAGTAGACCCCACTGGGCACTGTTTACATTATTCTTAGCATAGGCTCTCACTGGGCCACATTCCCACTGGCTTTGTGGTCTGGGGCTCAGATCCCAAGGGTGCTTTACCCTGTCTGTCTTGGTGTGAGACTCAGGGATTGCAGACCAAATTAAACAATCTATGCAAGTGGTCCTGCCGCCTTCACTGGTCCTCTTCCGCTGCTGACCTAACTGAGAGCCTAGTGCCCCCTTCAGGACACCATTTGGTTGTATGGCCAGGCATTGCCCTTGCCAACTGTAGGGCTCAAACCCATTTTCCTAACATTGCTGCTGCTTGATGCCATTCTTCCGGTGGTCACAGAGATAAAATCTGTCCCGTCACTGACCATGGAAATCTTTTAGGTAGGTGGGTTTGCAAGGGCTCCAGAGCAGGCCTAAAGGTTACCACCACCCCTAAGAAACCCTGGGCTCAGTGCATTTTGAGGGTCAGTGTCTACACAGCCTGTACAGGTCTACTGACTGCAAGGCTTCTCAGATGCTTAGGGCAGGAAAACAGCCCCCAACAGCACAGAAGAGCCAAGGTGGAAGGAGCCTGTTCTTTAGTACCTTCCTGGGGAGAAATGCTCAGAGTGCCAAGGAGGGGAACAGGCAATCTTCAGGATCCCAGCAACCTGACTGTACTGTGTGTCTAACACTGTTCTGGGTGGTCTTTGATTGGCACCTGAGGCGTGAGACCAACCAGACATCTGATGGTGGCTCCTCCCCACCCCCAGGAGATCGATGGCAAGGCCCTGCTCCTTCTGCGCAGTGACATGATGATGAAGTACATGGGCCTGAAGCTGGGGCCTGCCCTCAAGCTCTCCTTTCACATTGACCGGCTGAAGCAGGGCAAGTTCTGAACAGGAGACATTCTCCTCGAAGCCACCAGTCAGCTCCCAGGCACCTTAGTAGGGCTCTGGGTGACCTCAGGATTCTAGGAGGCTGCAGAACCACACTGCTACCCCTCCTGCCATGGTGTGTCCTTCCATGAAGGACTGAGGAGGGAAGAATGTGGGCCCAGGGCTGGTGCTGCTCTTCCCCTAGCCTGCTGTGGCTCCAGGCCCCTTCTATTTATTTTTGAAGGCTAGCCAGTATCTCACCAGAAGTTTAGGCTGAGCACCTTGTAAGAGATAGAGGAAGAAGCCAACCCTAAGGCTTTGAAAGGCCCTGGCACCCAGGCCCCTTACCATCTTCTGAGCTTGGTATAGTGTCCCATGGTACCCAGTTCATGCCTTCTCACTAGATCCCCAGACTCTGAACTTATGGTGCAGACCTTTTTAAAAAAAAAAAAAAATTCCTTTCTTACTGCTAATTTATTGCTTCTGGCACTTGGACTTAGCTTTTCTTGCACCAGACATTTTTAGGAAGAGGGAGACCACCCTCTGTGGTCCAGAAAGGGCCTCTCCAGAGAAGTGTGGCCCTATTTCAGAGGACACACCCCTAGGGCACTTTCTCTCTGGAACAGACAGAACTATATGGCTCACTGAGCATGAAAAGTGAGGGTCCCTCTTCCCACACTGGGCCCTTTGTAGTCCCAGTCTCCATCTCTGATGGAGTTTTCCCCCTACCCTGCCCCCATCACAGCTCCCTGCCCTGGTCAGAATTGCTGCAAAAGATGGGGCCTAATGCCTTTAGGCCACGGGCCCCGATGGTGGGAGGGAGGACCTCAAGGCTGGAGGGGGTTTGCCTTCTGCCAGTTCCTGTGCTTCCTCCTAGGCAAGTCAGCAGCACTGCTGCGCCCACTGCCATCTTAACTATTTTATGTCAGTTTGTTTATAAATAAAAACCAGTACAAATGCCTGTGTCTTTTTAACCAGTTGACTTCCAAATCACTCAGCAAACAGGTTACCCCTTCACCTAGTCTTGGTTTTCACTCATGTAAAATAAGGGATCTGTGCCAGATTATCCCTAGGAACTCTTCTTAACTTACAGTCCACAAGAACAGGCTATTGTCCAAGGGGCCACAGCACCCAGCACCTTGCAGGCCCCAGGCTCTGCCCTGGTTGCCTCCCTCTGTCAGGTAGACAGGTGTTAGTACCAAGCAAACAAGCAATCCAAGGACTAGCTACTCTCAAAAGCCTTAGGCTGCTTCATCCTCCTCTTCATGAGAAAAGAGGCAATACAGACCTGCATCATACCCATTGCTCTGACACCCCAACCCGGTGTCATACAGCCTGTTGGCTTACAGTGGGAGCAAGGACAAGACAACCTGAAATAACAGCCAGGGAGCATACCAAGTTTCACTGTTGGCTGTGAGACTGCTGGAGCAGGCATGGCTACAGGGGTGAGCCATTTAGTAGTTACCAGGTCTTCACAGAGACTCATTTGGCCATCCTGTGGGGCTGAGCCTCTTCCTTCCTATACACCATTGCCTTTTATTTCCCTCAAGTTTTGCCCAAGCTTCTGCCTCCAATCCTACATGCAACAGAAGTCCAGGCATGCTTTCAAAATGGCTGCCCACAGGAAGGCCAAAGAGCTGCTTGATTGAAGCAGTTGCTGTGGTCTCCCTCGTGCTCCCAGTAAGAAGGATTATCATAAGTAGAGAGGGCAGAGTGTGTAATGTAGTCTTTAACTGGGAGCTGACAAGATGACTCTGTCAGTAAAGGTGTTTGCTGTGCAAGCTTGGGGACCTGTGTTTGATCCCCAAAACTTGAAGGAGAGAACCAACTCCAGAGTTGTCCCCTGACCTCCACACGTCATGTATGACACATGCAGTCCCTTCCCCCACATCATACACACAGTAATAAATCAGCCTTTTAATAAACATAAAAAGTTCTTACCTAAGCTAAGCCCTGCCTTTAAGGGATTGGCTGCCAAATTGCCAGAGGCTGTTTGTCACCCAAGGAGCAGATAGCTCTATCCCTTGAGTTGACTAGCTGATTTTTCAGGCCCTTTTAGATAGCAATAACAAGAAATGTCTGTGTTTGCACAAAGAGGGATCATGTATCAGGGGAGCCCTGGACTGTACCCTGTACATTTTGGTTCATCCTGGGAGCATCTAGGTCCTTCAGTGTTCAGCAGAGCTTGGGGTTGCAGACCAAGGAAAGAAGTGGAGACTTTAGACAGCAGAGTCAAAAGAGATAGTAACTGTGGGTTGTGTGAGCACTGAGGGCTGGATAGGTGGTGGAGAGGGAAGAAGTGGGAAGTGCCTCAGGTTCTAAGTTCTAGAATCTGCTCCAAAGACCCCCCATGGCCAAACTGCATGGTGGATGAGCAGTTGTCTCTGTTTAGTGTCTAGCACTTAAGGACCATTCTTTGCTCAGCATCTCTTGCTCAACATCATTGCTTGTTGTCTGTGGCTGAACCAGAAGGCATTATTGGTCTTCATGAGATCACAGAGGCTATTGCACAGGCCCCGCCCACTTCCTAGACCCTGGTTCTCTCTGCCTCCATGCCAAGTTCTAAATGTCCTGGGTCAGGGAGCTGTGGGAGCTCAGGGCTGGGCACCTCCCATGCCCCTGCAGGAGCAAGCAGGACATGAAGATTATAGGCCTCTTTCCTCTTCTTCCTACTTGCCCTGAATGCCCCCACTGCAGCTGTGGTGGCTCTTGGACTCTGACTACCTCAAAGACCCAACCTGGAAAGATGCAGGCTGGTGGTGCCTGCCACCCAAGTTGGAGGCTGGAGGTGTGGGGGTGAGTGGAGGACTTGTATTTGTGTGCCTATGGCACAGCCTTTGAGTTCCCAAGCCTAGGGTGAGGTTCTAGTTCTGAGCCACCTCAAGATGCAAAGGCCCTTTTTATGGGGAGGAACCATCGCTGTCGTCAGTGTGCCAAAACCCCAAGAACCTGCCAACCCAATCCTGAAGTTTCAGTGACCCATACTAGCCTGTCAGCAGGTTTTAGAATAGGTGGGAGAGGCAGTGATGGGGCCACTGGCCAGCCCTCAGATTTTGGGATTATGGCCTTTTCTCCAAGGCCCAATTTAACCATCTCCCTAGGGCATGGAGACTTTTAAGAACCTTTTGGAAGTACAGAAACCCCAGAGACAGCTAGGAGATCCTAGATCCAGATTGGGGAGTTAAAATAAGGCACCTAGAGGGTATAGAGAAGACCCCAAAGATCCCTTATCTGCCCAGAGGCCTGGCTCAGCCCCATCTGATTCTTTCCTAGGCACCAAGGGGGTTACTTGCCCTCTGCCCTCCTTTTTGTCTGACCCTGCTAGTCTCTGCCCATCTACAAGCCTCCAGAAGCCTTAGCACCTGCGAGTGCGCTGGGAAGGAAGCCCGGCCCTGAGAGCAGGGCCCAGGAGGAGCAGTCAACAGTGAGGACTATTGACCACCATGACCCTTAGGAAGAGGTCAGCACATACACAGACATGGGAGTTCCCCGTGGAGTCCCAGGGCAAGCAGTCCCTGCCAGAACTAAAAGAGTCCCCGCCCAAGGACTCTGGCCTCAAGGCAGTTCCCACCACACATACTCTCTATGTGGGCCACCTGAACCCCCAGTTCTCTGTGCCCGTGCTTGCCTGCTTACTGAGAGATACCCTAGAACGGCTGGAGCTGCCAGTGGCCCGTGAACACATTGAGGTAGTAAAACGGGCACGGAACACTTACGCACTGGTACAGGTGGCTGCCTCCAAGGCTGCCCTGGCCTCCCTCCCCTGGCGCCTGCAGATGGCCTTGGAAGAGCAGTTAATCATCAAAGAGCTCACAGCCCGTGGCAAGGAGCTGGTGTTGAGTGAGGGCTTAGAATCTCTGAACCGCAGGGAGGTAAGTGTGGTTTGCCCAAGTGTGCCCTAAAAAACATGCTGGGGATGAGACATGAGTGTGAATGGCTTGCACACCCAGGGGACGTGACTCAAATGACCAACTTCTCTGCTAAGAGGAAGACTAACTCTTAAGGAGGCTTTTGCATTCCAGTCAGGTTTGGGAGACCCAGAGCATACCAAGTCCTGATTTTCCCTTTGGCCTACCTCATTTGTTCCATTGACAAACATCAATACCTGTACTGTACCAGAAGAAGCAAGGCAGAGGCAAGCAACCTATGCCCTGTCCCTGTCAAGCTCTCCAAGAGCAGAACCAACTCTGCCAGTCCCAAAGTCGAGGTGGAGCAGGGCATGGTGGCACATGCATTTAATCCCGGCAACTGAGAGGCAAAGGCAAGGGGATCTCTTGAGTTCAAGGCCAGCCTTGAAAGTGAGTCCAGGACCAACCCTGTCTCCAAAAAAAAAAAAAAAAAGTTGAAGTGGCTGTGTGAGAACCGGCAAACCCTCACTGCCCGCAGGAAATCCAGGCTTATGGATCACAGAAGGCATTCAGAGAAAAGATATTCAAATAGTGATATAGGACAGGCTGGTATCTCTGGAGCTGATGCTGGAGGCTACAGAGGCAGCTGAGGAAGGAAGCTGGAAAGGAAGCTGGGTCAGAGGGTGGGCCCAGATCACAGCAGCTGTAATGATGGCAAAGCAGGGTTCGGGTCAGTTTTGTTGGAGGTGAAAGGTTATACTACCAATGTCCTTGGTCTTCTGCTCAAAGTGCAAACCCATGGGGCTTGAACTGGAACTAAACAGCTCTGTGATACTTTTTGTGATGCATATGTACCTATCATATTTCTGAGGCTAAGTTCATCAGGAACGGAGCCGCTGGGCTACTAGGGTCTTGCCCTTCATCTCCATGCACTAGCCCAGCTGAGTGTCTAGCACTACAGAGGTGAAGACACCAGGTAGCTGGGAAATAGGGAGTGGCCATTGCACTGGCATTCAGAGCTGCTGAGATGATGGGAACAGGAAGCTGATGGGCTGTTGAGAGCCAACAGAAGTGACCATGCAGAAACAAACTGCCCAGAGCCCTGGAGACAGAAGCCACAGAGGGACTCGGGAAAAGCAGAAAAATCTAAGATTCAGGAGGACTTTTCATTAGCCAGGAAGTAGCTGGCAGATATTCCAGGGACAACAAAGATGGTAGTATCAGATCCCTCAGTTCAGGGGGCTGCGTCTCTGCCCAGAGGACTGGAGGGTTACCAAAATGCCTCCTAAGAACAGCTGGGCCTGGGGCCTATTAGACACTCAGGGGGGGAAGATTGGCCCATGGTGTGTTTGCTCCCAACTCCAAAGGGACAATCTCCTTACTCTCCCAGGCCTCCTGCGGCAGGTGCCAAGGAAGAGTCTAACCCAAGTGCTGGCTTGAGCTCTTGAGCCAGCACTGGCTTTTGCACACATACAGAATTGGGCCATCAGCCTGGGAGAGGACCACTAGCAGGAGTGTGACTGGGGTCTCTTAGAGTTAGGGGCTCCTACACGCTACCTTTGCCTATATGCCCACTCTTGACCCCCACCCCAGCAGGAGGACAGCGGTCCAAGCCCAAGCCACAGCCCTGGCCCCAGCCCTGGCACCAGCCCAGGCTTCAGGTGCCCACCGCTGCCCAAACTGGCAGACCCTTCCCCTAACTGCTGCTGGGCTGGGCATCGGCAGACCTCTCAGAACCGACCCAGTGGCGTGCGCTCTGACAGTGCCATTGTGCACCAGGAGATCCTGGGCCAGGAGCAGCTATTCCAGGGTGCCTTCCTTGGCAGTGAGACACGGAACATGGAGTTTAAGCGAGGCGGCGGTGAGTACCTGAGCGTGACTTTCAAGCACCACGTGCGGCGCTACGTGTGTGCCTTTCTCAACAGTGAGGGTGGCAGCCTGCTGGTAGGCGTGGAGGACAGTGGCCTGGTGCAGGGCATCCACTGCAGCCACCGTGATGAGGACCGTACACGCCTGCTGGTAGACTCCATCCTGCAGGGCTTCAAACCCCAGGTCTTTCCGGATGCCTACACCCTCACCTTCATCCCTGTCATAAGCACCACAGCCAGCACGCCTCTCAAGGTGAGCTACCACTGTCATCAGGACAGTGACACTGCCCTCTGTGACACTGCCGAGCAGCACGGGTGGGGAGCAGCAACAGGAGCTTCAGGAAGAGTCCCCAGGCTGCCTCTGAGAGCTAAAGTGTGGGGTGTGGGGCTACCCAAGTGGAACTGGGGCTGCCACCATCAGATGCGGTACACGCTGAGCTTCCATTGCCTCTGCTAAGGTACTCCGCCTGACTGTGCATGCCCCCAAGGCACAGGGTGAGCCACAGCTGTACGAGACAGACCATGGGGAGGTCTTTCTAAGGCGTGATGGGAGCATCCAGGGCCCACTGTCAGTTGGTGCCATCCAGGAATGGTGCAGGCAGGTGAGGAGGCTCTGGCCAAGGTGGGCTGGGGTCAAGCTGACTCAGATCCTACCAGCCCAAAGTGCTGGGCAAGCCTGAAGAAGGGAGGGCTTGGATGAAATGAATCTGCCTCCTCCTCACTGCCAAAGGGGAATTTCCAGCAGTCATTTAAGAAATCTATTCCCCACCCGCCCTGCTTCAGCACTTCAGAGGAGGGTTGGACTGAGTTGCAAGAAAAAGCCTTTATATGAGGGAACCACCAGGTGGTAGAAAAGCAGAGGGGAAGGAAGCTGACACTGGAGATATGGTCTGGTGGTAATCAGGCCCCAGTGCCAGCCCTTGGGAGACTGCCAATGGCGCCCCATCCCAGTGAATGGTATACAGGCAACTTCAAGACCCTTGATCAAAGACAGCAGTGTGGCCAGGGGCCCCATGCTGGGGCCCCAGGAGGATGGCCTGAGTAGATAATCAGACAGTAGCCTGATTATCTATATCTACTGCCACTCTGTCCTCTCAGAAATGGACAATGGAGCTGGGCAAGCTGGAAGAGAAAGTGAAGGTGCTAACGGTGGAAAAGGAGCAGCTTCAGCAGCAACTGAGGCAGCGCCGCCGGCTCATGACCTGCACCTGTTGTGTCCTGTGAGGCTGTGAGGAAGATGTGGGCTAAGGCCTGGAACACAACATACCTCAGCCACTCCTCCTCCTTAGCACTGCATGCACAGGAGCCATGTGGCTTCGCCTCAGAGCAGGCACAGTAACATAGCTAATAAACAGCTCTTGGCACATCCCCAAGGGACCTTACTTTCAGAAAACATGGCTAGGCATTCTACAACTGAGCTCTAAGGGACTATAACTCTAATTCCAACTAAATGCACCTTTTGCCTAAGCCAATTCCAGTGGGCTAGGAAATCTGTCAACCTGGAAAGGCCACTTGCAGCCACCAAGACCTACTGAGTTAGTGGGCACGGGCTACCCTGCAGGTCTCACCCAACTTACTAGAATTTGCTTGTTATCACTCCTTATGTACTGGAATGCCTGGTTATTTCTAAGACACTGGTCAGCCAGCCAGAGGCGGTTGCTTCACAAGTCTCATGGCCAGCCCTCATCTGCTTAGAAGCCAGAGCCCACTCAGATACCACAGCTCAGCAAGCCACCCAGCACCCACTGCAGCCCTGCCCTAACACCAAGCACATGGGGCAACAGTGCCTACGGCTGCCTCAGTGGGCAAGGGGCATTTTTGTCACATTATATACTGTCTGTTATCTGCTGGCTGTGGCATGAGGGGCATAGCCAGACTACTGCCTCCTCACTAACAAGCACAAAAGCCAGAGCTGGATCCTGCCCCACCTGCCCTGTCCACATCCATTTTACCACAAGAAAGCCACCTGTTCTAGCTGCTCCTGCTACCCCTTATACCAGCCATTTGTGCCACAGCAGCCAACCCACCTCACCTCTATACTGAATGCTCCTTTGCCTAAAGCCTTCTTCCTTCAGAGATATAGCACTTAGCTTCCCCTCTAGGCTGCCCTTGAATTTGTGGCACTCCAGGCTTCAATAACCCCCACCACCACCACCCTACTTACCACGGCTTGTGGCGCCAAGGTGCTTGGATTACAGGCAGGAGCAACTATGCCCAACTTTTTTTTTTTTTCCTTTTCCATAGCAATGTCATAGTTTCTCCCACTAGGTCAGGCTGCTGTCAGGTTTAGTCTGTGCTCAGAACACACACAGGCAATGTGGTAGGTGCCTAATAATTCCCTAATGAGATAAGAGTACTCTTAAATTTGGGCTCTGACCTACCAGATAATCATAGAGCACTGACACAGCATTGTACAAGACAAGGGCCCCCACGAAAGTGTTTAGTTACCAGCCCTCTTTTCCTTGAGCTTGTTGGCTACATTGGGAGTAGACACCTAAGAAAAGGACTGCGAGTGCTATCAGGCATTGTTTCCTCTTTGATACATGTGCAGACACAAACTAGTTTTGAAAATCCAGTTCCCATGTTCCACTCAACAGATACTAGACGACCCCTGGACCCCTTACTGCTCAAGACCCAACTTTGCCATGTGTCAAACAGGATAGAACCCCTACCAACATTTACAATACTTCCAGGAACCAAACATGATCATAAATGTTCATGACAGCTCACCAAATTCCCTTTACTCGCACACTGGTGTCCCCAGGGCTACATGAATGCACTTCTGAGGCTGTGGCTCAGTAATAGAGCACTTCACTAACTAGCATGAGTAAAGTCATGGGTTCTAGCCCCAAGAAAGTAAAAGAATGACAAAGTAAAGTCATTTCTCAAGAAGCCAGAGGAGAATGTTTGTAGGCACCACCCACCAATGTGCTATGTACCATGCTAGATTCTGGTCCAGGTAGCACCATCCTCAGAAGTACTTTCTCTGGAAGCCGGTTTTTGCAAATACAGGTGGGCACAGAGAACACGGCTGCCACCTGCCCTTGTCCCCTAAGTCTGAGGTCAGCACACCAAGGACACGAGGGTAAAGCTTCTGAGCACTGGTAGTCACTGGGCACAGAATACTGCCTTCTAGCACCAGCAAGCATCATTCTTGTCAACATGACAAACTCTGGAGAGCCATGTGGGATTCCCTTTTGCTGACAGGTTTTACAGGTAGCTAGCATGTGGCAACTGGTCAATAGCGAGGCCATCTTTCTCAGGAGAAAAACATAGGGATGCCTCTTCCAAACCACTCCACACCTACCTAGCCAAACCCTCATTACTGTGGCAAGAGCGGTTTGTCCCTCTGGGAAACACTGCTTCAGTGTGGGAAGTGATGGGACTACTGGGTGGGAAGAGAGAAGTAGAATCATCCACAAGCCAGACAGAATCCATACAGAAGTAAACCTGAGCTCATAGACATGAAGGCAAAGACAGGATGCTTTTGATAGGAATTAGGAATTAGAAGGGTAGGGCTCTGGGTCTCAAAGGTGACTGTGGCATTAGACCAGGGAATGAGAGAGGAGTCTGAAGTAGGAGTTAGGCAAACAGGTAAGACAAATTTTCCTCCCCAAGCCTCCCTGTCTCAACTTGTAGCAAGGCCTGTAGCCCAAATGAGTGGATGCCAACACCCTACAAATTGACTTTAGAAAGACCTCTACCCCTATGACCTTGAACTTCTGGGCCTGAACTCTAGAGGTCAAGAATGAGTACAGAATGGGAGAGAAAGCAGACCAGCTGTTTAAGACAGCCCATGGTCACCTGGCTGGTTCCATGTATGAAGTGTCCTGTCTGTAGTGGGCAAAGGACCTTGCAGGCAGCCATGCTTCCTTCTCGTAGCACACAGCACCAATTGACTTTTAATCCCTTGGCACATGATATGTCATGACAACCTGAAACCTTGCTGAAAAATCCTAGTAGCTACTAAGGCTTACATCTTAGTTTGATACTCACTCAGACTGCTTACTGAGGCTGGCCCAAAAGAAGCCCTGGCATTGAAGCCCAGTGCCCATGGAAAAGCACCCCAGGCAGTGAGAGAAGAAGAAAGTACACCAGTGGTTCCGCATTATTTATTGAATTAGGAGTATACATGGAGCCAGCCACCACACTGTAGGCACATGGCCATGCCCACTGCTATGTCACAATAAGAAAATAACTTCAAATTGCATTTCAACTGTATAACACCATTCTGAAAGAAAAAAATACCCTCAAATCAAATGCTGCATACACAAGAGAGGGCTTCAGAACCAGTTACCCAAAGATTCCTTGTTTCTTGACCCCTTGATACAAGGAGTATACTCAGCCCCAGGAATACAAAGTTTAGCCAGAGACCCAGAGTTTTTATGTGACACTTTATATAGACAGACCTTGTGTGATGTACCAAAGAACCAAACATCCCTCTGGATGGTGAAGGTCAACCACAGCTGGCACCAAGTCCCCTACAACTCAGCAGCACTGAGATTCCAACAACACCCACAGTTAGCAGCCTAGCACTGGAAGCCCTGGCACCCAGGGAAAAAACAGCAACTCACTCAAATGACAGTGATTCAAGTGGCTGGAAAGATAAACAAGGTGGTTGGTGGCCTTTAACCAGCCACTGGCCACTATCAGGTCCCATCCAGAGTCCTGCTTCCCAATCTCAGAAACAAATCTCGAAGGAATTGTCCCATAAATACATATATTGCAGGATCCAGTATAAATGATGGGACATGCAAGTGACAAAAGTTTTCCAAATACCTTTTCCCCCATAATAAAATAATCTTAATAAAAACATAATTTAAAAGAAGTGTCAAAAGCAGAGTGTAAAATCATAGTTGTAAACTATCAAAAGTTGAAGGCTTTCTTGAAGAATCATCCTGTTTAAAAAAAAAAAAAAAAAAAAAAACAAAACTAGAATTACATGATATTTTTTAGAGAAGTGTCAGAACTTAGCTGCCAGCCCACACAAGGAATAAGGCCTGTTCCTGTGGGAGAATGACAGAAGCAATTCCACAGAATCACACCTTCAACGCCTTGCAGCAACCTCTGTGCCTCAGTCACATACAAGTACTCTGTCCACAGCACTAGCCTGTTTAAAGACTGCTGATGGGTAGGCAACTCCCAGTGAGTAATGGAGGTGGGCATATACACCTGTACGTTTGCTAATGTGTAGAGGACAGAGGTTGACAGGCATCTTCCTGTCAATCTCCAGCTTGCTTTATGAAACAATTTCACAAAGACTCTGCAGTTCACTGGTACAACTAGGCTGGTGGGCCAATGAGCTCTTAAGGATCTGGGCTACTACTTTTTTTTTTTTTAACTAAACCTTAAAAATGTCACTTACCGGATCAGTCCTGATTTATTGATGGAAACTTGAGTTCAGTGATTTCAGAGTCAGGGGAACTGCTCCCACTTCTGTCACTATAAGTATCCCTATGGAATTCAAAAGGTTTACTCATTTCTCATTAAACACTCACTTTACTTCCCCAACTTCATAACCAATGTTATACAGTGGTATGTGTCCACACATGGTAACTACATATATGAGGCTACAGAGGAATTTCTTTCCTCTAGCTCCAAGAGCTACATCCCCTCCCCAATATTTCACCATTTATATGCTAACTACCAACTCAGAGCAACCAGTTTCAGACAGAAGTTATAGAGCATAAGCCCACCTGGTTGTGTCCTAAGCAGACAGGATCTGCTCAGCAGCAATAACAGAACCCAGAAACTACAAAGATGAGGCCTGGCCTAATGGCAGGAACCGCCTAACAAAACCCCAGGGAAAGAACAGGAACCTTCACAGTATATAGAGTAGTGCGCAATCACCTACACAAGGCCCAGGCCCTGGCACCTGTGGCTTTTTCTTAGTACTGTGTAAAGCCTCACTGTGATGAGTTAGTGTGCCCACCTGGGTGAGAGTCGGCAACCTTTCTGAAGGTAATGTGGGAGCCTCCCCACAGAGGCCAGAAGAAGGCCAAAGTAGGGAGGGGAGGGCTTGATGGGCCTGGACAGGAACTCAGGGTGATACTGCACCCCAACAAAGAATGGATGATCTGTAACATTCAGAAGGAACAATTAGTATTCTGTGCATCAAGTGAAAAGAGGAGACAATATATATATATATATATATATATATATATATATATATATATATATATATATATATATATATTACTCAAATGTAGGTAAAGGGAACCCCAGATTATCCTGTGACTTGCACAGGCTGAGCCACGCTGTTCACATAAAAATTGAGCCAGCTCTTCATGCTGAGGGAAGCTCCATGGCTGCTGTGGAAGCCATGCATAGGGATACACATCCCTTCTTGGGAACCTTGTCAGAAGCTCCTCCCCAGACACTGCTGCCTTCTCAACACCAAGTCAGGAGCAAAACCAGCACACTTTCATTTCTATTGAGACAGTCTGGCTCTGCAGCCTTGGTTGACCTAGAACTCAGGATCCTCCCCCTCGGCTCTCCTGGGACTGCAAGAGTGTGACACCACCACACCTGGGTGGCATATTTTTCCATTTTCCCACACAAGGAAACTTCACTGCACTTTCTCCATTTTATCACTACCCAAACAGTCACCTTCCAATTCCACAATCTCCATCCTCTCGCCTTCAACATCTTGGCCAACAAACTTTAAGCCTTGCTCTTCCAAGCACTTTTTCAAGACTGGATTCACCTGGTGGGACAGAAGAACTCATTGTTTTGCTTCTCCATTACTTTGTAGAGTAACAGAAGCAGCAGGCTTTTAGCCTCACCTCAAATCGGTGACGGTGCCTCTCTTCCAAGTAGTCTACGTCTCCATAGAGTTTCCCTGCAGAAAACCAAGCAGTTTCTATGACTTCTGTCTGCACAAAGAGTCTATGCAAACTATTTCCAGTCCACTCTTTCATGTAGGTTACCAAATTTGCTAGTCACGTTCTCCTGCTCTTGATATAATTCAGACGAATAATTCCTGGGGCTCTGGCTCCTCTGCACAAATCAAGAACCATAGCAGGAACAAACTTTAACCACCTCTCTTGAACACACCATTACTAAATGAAAAGCACTGTGCTGCTGGGAATCATCACAGGGACACAACAGGCCCTCCCAGAAAGCCAGGTCCCTAAGAACAGTGTGGGAAAGGGAAATTAAAAGCTGGTTGGTACCTCGTAACTGGATGAACAGGGACAGTGTATGCAAATGGGGTGCTTACTGACTCACTCCTCACTGCCTACTGAGACCCCACACCCACAGAAGACCACAGTTGGAAGAACTTGAAAATGGTACTCATTCATGTCAAACTAGTCTGACTGGAATCCCCAAACACGGGTACCTCTACCAATGGTTAAAAGAGCAGCATTCCCATTAGGCAAATAGTCTAATAGGTTCATTTTCTTAAGTCATTCTTCTCCTCAATTCCCCTAAGTTTTTAACCACAATCATCTTTTTGTTAGAATAAAATGTATTTAAACTATGTAAAATTGTTTCCACAGTTCTATTTACTAGTATAAGAAAGTAACCACAGATTGCAATGGATTTAACCTAATGGCCTGTCTTATTGAGGTCCCCACACCCAAGGACCCAGGTGCATTATCAGAGAACACCTGGCTAACATAGTACATCCTAAACAAGCATATGAGATGAGGAGAAGGAAAGAAATGCAAAAGTAGGAACAAAACCAAGAAAAGGCTGGCCTGGCCCTTTGGAGCTGTAGCACCACCTAGCCCACACGTCCTGCATAGACAAGGATAAAAGCCAGACTCATGGGAAACAACTTACTCATGACTGAATTCTTGGTCTGGAACAGGGTTCTCCTCTTGCCCAGCCTCATGGTTCCACCCATCTGCCCAGGGTTATGTTCTGGCATGTCTATAACCTAGAGATGTTCAGAAAACAAGTCTGACCACCAAACTGCTTCTGTTAAAATTTGACCTCTTTCCCCAAGTGTAGTCGTCCAGGGGAGGAGCTCAGTGCTTCAGACTGTCTCATGATGCTGTCCCCTGCCCTGGTACCTGAGATGCCAAGTACTGTGCTACGGCATAGCAACATGGGCACAAGACTAGTCATGACACAGCTATGCCCTGGGTCTGAGAAAAGGATACAGGACCAAGAGCCACTATCAAGTCTGTGAACAGGGAGATTGTACCCAGAAAGGGGTGGTAGAGCTCACCTATTGGCCCAACATGCCTGAGCACCTTATAAAACCCTCCTGACCTCTCTGTGCTCCACTCCCTCATCCCATCATTGTTCTTACATTAACAAAACTTCAACTTCAGAAGAAATATGCAGTTGCTAAGTCAATGAAATAAAAAACCTTGTCCACCTTGTCATAGTGTCCTCAGTGACAAAATAGTCCCTTGCACACAACCAATGCTCATCAGATATAGAATACTGGAAAAACACATGCCTATGCATGCATGTCACTCATGGGCTAGGGATTCAAAAACAAAGACACAGCCCTCCCAAGTGACCCTTAGTAGCACCTCAGGTTGACTAGGCCACATGCCTCCAGGTAATCAACAACAGGAGGATTATGAAAAGCTATGCTTAGCACTAAAGAAATCACCACCCCTTAGCTCATCAACCCTGACCCTGTCTATCTTCTAGGACTGACACTGGGAAGAACATGCTGTCAAATATAGAGCTCTGAGAATAGTGGCTACCATATAGCAAGCCTCCACACACAACTCCTACCAGGAGCTGAGGGGATGGAGAGCTATTTCACTCAGGAACCTCCTCTTGCTGGCAGGGACCACACCTGTCTTTTAAATACTTCCTATGGTAACCTGGAAAGACTGGTGAGGAATTAGGTAAAAACTCAGGAAGTCCTTGTCATGAAGCCTGAAGGGTCTGTGGGATGCAATGGCTCACTGCCTATTACCATCCCCTGCTTCACATATGTGCTTCCAGCTCTTTAAGCCTCTGAGAGGTTCAAACGCTTGACTCACCACAGGATGACTAGTCTTAGGGTCAAACTCTGTAGAATTGGCATCTGAAAAGTTAAAATAGTTGAGTTATGAAAACAGCTATAAACACTGGGAAGTGTTGGTGCACACCTTTAATTCCACCACTCAGGAGGCAGAGGTAGGAGGATCTCTGTGAGTTATAGGCCAGCCTGGTCTACAGGGTAAGTTCTAGGACAGCCAAAGCTGTCTCAACAAACAAAACAACAAAAAAGGTATAAAAAAACCTGTTACTAGTTTTATGCTAAGCATTAGAATCATGAGCTCTCTCTCAGTTTGAAGTCAATGATTATGGGCTGGGGAGAATGGCCAAGTAGTTAGAGCACTCGCTGCTCTTACAGATGACCCAGGTTTGGTTCCTAACACCCACATGGTGGTGATTACCGTGTTCAAAGTGAGGATCTTGAGACAAGAAAGGCAGGAACAGTAGCTGAAGGCCTGCTTGCTCAGGTGCTCCCTCAGACATGTAAAGTGGTTCATGCACCACTATTAACAAGGCGCCTACTTCACTGAACACTGAGAGGTGCTGAGAAAGCAGGCATCATGCTCACAACCACCAGCATACAATGGCTGTCAGGGCCTCCAGGTATCAGTTGCTAAATTTATACTTACCTTGCCATCCCAGCACATTTCTTGAAAATTCCACCACTGCTAGCTGCATTCCTAAGCACACACCTTCCAAGAGAAGGAAAAAAACATCAATCTCCAATGAGAGGTCAACTCCCACATTTGCCCAGCCTGCCAGTGTCTTTGTGTTCTAAGTGGAACTCATACAATGTCAGAAACACCCAAAAATGTTACCTGTAATGAATTAAAATCTGGACCTATGCATACACGAAGATTTAGGGTTCTGCAAAGCTAGTTAGTTAAAGAAACAATACTTGGTGCCTTAAAATCCAAGTTCCCAATCTTCTCTCATTAAGTTCTCATTTACAAATTGATCAAGTTGAAAACTGCAGCATCCAAAATGACTTGGCAAGTTGCTGGCTAGTTTGCCAAGTGAAGAGAACACAAAGCCCAACTTTACATGCACTGCAAACAGTATTCCTACCTGACAGTCCACTTTCTCAAAATTCTTTGTCATTTATATGCAGCTCATAAACTTTCTGTATTGTGAATCTAAGGGCCAATCAGATGGCTCAGTAGGTAAAGGTGCTTGCCACGATGCCTGAATAACAACCTAAGTTCAATTCCTGGGACACAAATGGTAGGAGAGAACACATCCTAGGCAAGTTGCCCTCTGACTCTACATGTGTGCCATGGCATGCACCTACACACATATACATAAATAAATGTAATTGAGTTTCTCCCAGAAAATTCCTTTCCTGTGCATGTCTGGATTCACTGTTACTTTCTTCATTCTTTGTTCGGAGAGAAGAGGGCATAGCAGAACTCCTTACCCAAAAAAGGCTTCTTCTGTTTCCGAGCCCAGGCAATTGCTTGAATTTTTCCTTCTGTTCCCCGAACACCAAATCCTCCTGGAACCAGCACTCCACTGGAGAGAGACCATAAAACAACTTCCCTTTTCCACTAATCCAGTTCTCAGTCATACCAAAGAAGTCATGGCCATGACACTGAGGCCATAAGCTCATTTCTGTTCTGGCTCAGTCCCTCGGGACTGGGGCTGGAACTGAAAAACCGAGGGTGCACTTCCTGTGCTTGGGAATGCAATTAATCTGATGCAAACAAAGGCATGGGCCCTGTCACAGGGACAGACAGCAGTCTATCACAACAAAGTTATACTCCCCTTGTCCCAAATTCCTTATGCGTACTTTTTTCTGAGGTGGATCTTTCAAGAGAGCCCAAGCTGGCTTCAAACTCACAATCCTCCTGCCTGAGCCTCCTAAGTACCAGACTCTGGATGTGTTCCATGTTGAATCAGTCTCCTCCTGATTCCAGGGCTCCTCTCAGTTTTTGTGAGGGTCCTTTCTCCTCAGCAGTGTGCCACACTGACCACGGATCTCAGCACAAACAGCTTGTTAGCTTTTACTATTTTAAGAAAAATCTAACTGGGCTTGGTAACACATCCCAGCACTTGGTAGGCAGAAGCAGATAGATCTCTTGAGTTTGAGGCCAGAGAAACCATGCCTCAAAAAACAAAAAGAAAAAAAAAAAAAAAAAAGATCTGAGGATGTGGTTTAGCAATAGAGCACTTGCTAGCACCTGGCCCTAGATTTGATCCTCAACATCTCAAAATGGTAGTAGTGGTATTAGCAGCAGCTATGAAAACAACTTAGGAAATCCAACTGATGGCTACTCGAGTGATCTGGATAAAAATATTTAAGCCTCATGATGAGATACATAACAAGAATCAATGAAATGAGAATGTTTTCTTCAGACCCAACTATAATGGTGAGCCGTACTTTTTTCTTTAAAAACTTGCACCATTTACTATGCAATCTAATCATCCAGAGACACTAACAGGCCAATGACCTCAGCACTGAAAGCACAGGCCCATGTTCATTGGCACAAACAGTGTGGCAGAGAAGGCTACTTACTGAGCACTGCAGAGCTTCTGCCATGCCTCATGGTAGCGCACAGGCTCCTCCTGCAGGGTGCTGGGCTCCAGATCTGTAGAGTCGATGTACTGGTGCACGAAGGCAGAGAGACAAACAGCAGCTTATGAATCCAACCGTATCTTAACTTTCAAACAACATTATCAGTGTTCCATCTCTCTTCATTTCAGTTTTAAAGTGACAACATAATTAAATTCAATAACTTAATATTATTTAATAAAATTAAATATTTTAACTAAGGATCCCTTTACAATTACCTAATCTTCAAGTCCAGTTCTACCCACTCCATCCAGAGTGTTTAGATCTTCTTACAAGTAAGCCACTGGAGGAAACTCTATTTTCTGTTCGAATGACACTCTCCCAGGCCACCTCCATGTAAGTTTTCCCTTTTTTGTCCATCTGAATCAAAATATGACTTATAAACAAGATACAAACATTCTAGGAGTATCTATCCAATGTACCCTATACTGGCTAGTTTTATATCAACTTGGCACAAACTAGAGTCATCAGAAAGGAGGAAGCCTCATTTGAGAAAAATGTCTCCTTAAAATCAGGCTGCTATCAGTGGACTTGGAGAGGGGCATACATGAAGGGGGAGGGAGGATGAGATCAGGATGGGAGGAGGGAGGGGCTTATGGGGGAATACAAAGTGAATAAAGTGTAAAAAAAAAAACCCAATAATAATAAAAAAAAAAAAAAGAAAAGAAAAAAAAATCAGGCTGGGGGCTGGAGAGATGGCTCAGTGGTTAAGAGCACTGTCTGCTCTTCCAAAGGACCCAGGTTCAATTCCCAGCACCCACATGGCAGCTCACAACTGTCTGTAATGACAATTCTAAGGGATCTGACACCTTCACGCTAATGCACATAAAATAAAATAAAATAAAATAAAATAAAATAAAATAAAATAAAAT